CTGGTCACCTTGTACACATGGTGGTAATGCCGGGCTAATCGCCGTTTTACAGGACAGGGCTCCACACTCCATTCCTCTGTGCTTTTGGGGATTAGCTAATGGCTGGGCTTTGGTTCCCGGAGGGCGGAGACCGAGACTCTCCAACATTCTAGTCGTTCACTTCTGACTTCCTTGGAGCCTCTGCCTCACTGATTATCAGCAAGGAACCTCAAGCACCTTCAGGTCGGCCTCCTTCCTTTTACAAATGAGTCAAACAAAAATACAAATCTTTGGCCCAGGTCCCACCCTGGGTGGCTAGAGAAGGAGCCTCCTCTTCTGATTCCAGCCCCAACCCCTGGGACCACAGCGGCTGCCAGGGGGCAGGTCACCTGTCGTCACCCTTCTTTGCAGGGCGCTGTCAACGCAGGCTTCCACTGTGGCACCTGTCACAGCGCTGGGCCCGGGTTTCCCCCAGGAGAGCTGGAATCCTTCAAGGGACAATGTTTTGTCCTGTCTGATCCTCGCACCTAGAACAGGGTCTCCCTCATCTGTCAGTGGAAGGTGCCCTTGAGAAGTCTCTGGGCACAGGTCATCAAGGATGGGGATGCTTTATGGTTGTGGGCTCACGGAGATTTTTCAGATGAGAAAATAGCAAGTCACCAAAGTGGGATCAGTGGCGCAGGATCTCACCATCAGTAAGCAAGGGGGCTCGGACCCAAGCTCGTCTCCTGAACCTGAGTTCTCTGCATCATACCTGAAGCTGGTGATGTAGGGTAGACAGTGGCGGGAAGTCCTGGCAGGAATCCTGTTTGAAGTGCCGTGAGACTTGAAGGAGGGCTCACCACCAGCTAAGATAGCTCCCTGGTCTCTCTACCCTCCAGGAGTCTCAAGATGACAACTGAGTCTTAGAATGTTCCTGCTCCCTGCTTTTCCCACGGGCATGGCCACAACTTACTGCCAAAGACCAGCCTTGGCAATTTCAACAGAGAACACAACGTCCTGGTGGATCAGAGGCTGTGCCACAGAGCTGCGCTAATACAGGCCAGGGGACAGACAGCCTTGAGCCTCTCACCACGGAGATTCAGCCCTCAGTGGCGGGAAATCCTAACTGCGGCTCAAGCCGGGAGCTGTCTGCCAGAGAGCCACTCGCTGGTCCCGGCAAGCCCTCCTGCTCAAGACCATCTCATTCTCCCTCCTCAAAATCACTGACCTGCCCCTGAAAGATGTGACGCCAGTGTGTGATCATCCAATCCCATTCTTACCAAATACATATTTATTGCTCACTAGTCAAAGCACCAACTTACATTGTCTATGAAAAACTATATTGCGGTCATATTCGTGACCATTGAGACTGACATCAGAAGACAGAGGCCTTCCTACAGCTTGCTAACTTGTTGATCTTATCAGACCTCAGATTTCTGGTCCAAATAAACCAGGGTAATTTACAGAGTAACTCTTTTTGCATTTCCTATTTTATCACCTTACCTGTTTTTAAAATCTCTATGATTGTATTCACTCTATCCCTCATGAAAAAATAAACTTTAGAAATTAAAGGGCATTTCTTTTTAATTTTAAGTAGACCAATAAGAGGTCCTGACTCATCATGTTTCCCTTTTTGCTTTGATTGCTAGGAAGCTCAGAACCCAAGTTTGCTTTTGATTGCCGACATTTTCCTTTGACTTTAGTTTGAGCTACCGTTATCATCACCCACCACCCCCTTATTTCTCAGCTTCATTTCTTTTTCTGTTCTTTTATTGTTTCTGTCCTTTTTTTTCAGGGGAAGCTACCTTAATTCCTTTTTGAAAGGCAGAAGGGTATAAATAATGAAATCATTCTTAACCCCAGTACGCACTGCAGCTAAATGGAGCCTTTCAAAAACGATCCTTGCCTTCACTCTGTCACTCTCAAATTCCCAATGGCACCTCTTTCATCTGAGCAGAGCATCGCTGGCTATCTGGGTGTCTTCTATTTGGCCTCTACCCTGGACCTCAGAGCCGAGCCCGTACTTCAGTGCTCACAAAGATCAATGTAATTGCCACTGGCAGGGTCCCCCACCCCTCCGGAGCCTCCATCCAACAGGTTACAGGATAGAGATATGTGGATGGTTGTTACCAAGGATAAGGCTTGACATGCAGTCACCCAACAATGGTATCTATTTTAATGTCTGAATTATTTTTTTTCTAAAATTAACAGGCAGTGTCCTAAAACTCTCCCTATATGACAAAAAAAAAAAAAAAACTATCTGATAAATCACAAATCAAAACCCCTTTGAGCATCATCGAATCAGGTCTGAGCCACTCTGAGCTATTTTTTTCCTGTCTGATAAAACCATTATCATGTTACAGTGTTCACAATGCCGAATCACATCCCTTTGATCATCTTATAAAATTAATTGATCTTGCTTATCTATTGTTCTCTTGTAAATCATTTAATGGAGGATATTAAGAGAAGTAATGGTAACAACTGAAGCATTTATTAGGCTCTGATGTTCAAACTCGCAATGCGATTTTCGTAATCTAAATTTCCCCATCGCCAAATTCTATTCTTATGGGAATTTACATATAGAGAACCTCTAGCCACAAATAATTTACTTTTGCTCAATGTCCTGAAGGACAGACGTACACTGTGGCAAATCACTGCAGCTATACTTAATTTTAATTATTCTTTTAAATCAGATAGATACCCTGCAGTGAAATTCTTATAATTAAATAGAAATTAAAAGTTTCTAAAAGCCTTAATTTCAACTTCAAATTTAAATGCAAATGAAGTCACTAGGACCCAAAGCTTCCCCCTTCCCCCAGCCTCATCCTTCAAAATTATGAGGGATTGTCTAACAGCTTAAATCCACCACGAAACTTTATTGGGGTCCTAAAGAGGCCTTGGGACCTAAATGTGTTCCATTATCAATGTCTGTTCAGTGCCACCCGGGCACTCTGGAAGATCCAGCTGGCCCAAGGTGGCAGATACCCAGGATATTTATTTGAGTTTGGGTTCCCCAAGAAGCAGACCCCAGGACAAGAATTCACATGCAACTTGGAGATAGGAGGCCCCCAGAAAATAGGGCTGCAGACTGGAGACTCCATTCATTAGCGTGGGCTCCTTCAGAGAGGATCAGTGTCCCATGTGTGAGCCTCCACAGTGGCTCAGCCTGAGAAGGACCCCAAGCCAAGAGATGCAGGCACTGAGCACCCCAGAGGGCCCTGTCGTGATGAGGTCCAAGAGGACCAACAGCATCTGCTACCAATATCTTGCCTGCAAGTTCCAAACCAGTGCATAGGGATTGCAGGGAATTTTATTTGATGATAACGTTAATTTTGTTAAAACCTTGGAAATGCTTGCTTCAAAATTGGTATTTCTACATTCTTTTCAGAAAAAAAAGAATTGATCTAATCCATCTAGGATCGACAACTATGGTCACGTGTTGCTTAATGCCGAGGACAGCTTCTTAGACATGTGTCCTCATTGGGTGATTTTGCTGATGTGGGCTCATCAGGGTGCACTTATCCAACCTAGATGGTCTAGCCTGGGCTAAACGGGATAGCCTAGGCTCCTAGGTTATACACCTCTCTAGCATGTGACTGAACTAAATACTGTAGGCAATGGGAACACAGTGGTAATCGTTTATGTATCTAAACATATCTAAAATACAAAAAAAAGTTATGGTGAAAATACAAGATGATGGGAATTTTTCGGCTCTGTTATAACCTGACAGACCACTGTCACAGCCTCAGTTCCTTGGCAAAAGCATTGTTGGGGCACATGAGTGCATTTGGTGACTACATCATATGTCCCAAGGACTTGCTCCAAGGTAGGCACACAAGACCCTAGGACTAGATTTTTTTTCTTGGGGAAAGTGACAGCCTGTCCCCTGCCACACTGGTGAATCCGTCACCCGCGCTAGATTGAATACAAACCCCACCACTTTTCCTGTTCCGTCCCCGCCCCTGCTCGGGAGCTGGTCATGAAGCTTTGATTGTTTCAGTAAAAACCATTTAGCAGACAAAATATCTCCCTTAACCTCTCCTTTCAGGCTGAAGTCGCTGGGAGATAGCGAAGGGGCACACGTTACTTGACACGTGTTACATCTGCTCCAACAGCGGAGCCACAACCCTCCACACCTCGTGTGGTGCCCCTCTGAACCCCGCGTGCTTGCCAGGAGTTGGGTAACAGGAACCTCAGCAAGGACAGAAGAAATGCAGGGGGTACGCACCGCAGAGGACGCAGAGTGGGGCGAAGATCTGCTGTGATGGTGACGGTGACCCTGACACCTGGCTCAGGCACTCCCTTTGCTCCAGAGATGGCACACAGGGCGCGGGAGCGCTGGAGCTGCTTTGTGGGTGGGAGAGCCACGGCATTTCAGTGACGTGCAGCGGATCACAGTGAGTCTCTCCCGACCTCCATTTCCATCCTGCAGAAATAACACAAACTCATGGGCACGTGCCAGGGAACAGGGGGCCGGGCATCAGTCAGATGCTGGTGAAAGCGAATCTTCTTTTCTCGTGGTAAGTACTACAAGTAGACATGGTCCTAGGTTGGGTAACAGGTTTCTGGGATTGAGGGCATACCAACTTGGAGTTAACCAGTTGTCACAGCGAACATAACTGAGTGACAAAAGCTGTTTTAAATGTTTTCTCAAAATTTTAAGATTAAGACGACTCTGACTTCAGATGGAGCTTGATCCAGTGGCTTAACCAATTTCCTTTTTCCTTTTTTTTCCCAGGACTCTGTTTCTAGCCACCTTTTGACTCTGTTTCCTCTTGTTAGATTCACTCTCAGGCCTGCTTTCTCTGTTTGGTGGCCCTCGGAAGATCCAGACTCACCTTCCACAGCCCCAAATCCTGCAGATGGTTTCCTTTCCCTGCGCAGCTTCAATGCAATCCCTGTGCCCGACTTTCATTGGGCCAAACTGAGTCACATGCTCGTTTCTGAACCAATCCTTGCGGCCAGAGGAACGCGATCAGGTGATTGGTCAGGTGGACACAGGCTGGGGGTGGAGCCAACCCCTCGCACACCACCCTGCAGGAGAGCCCGGGAGAGGCCCTTAACCCTGGAGGAAATGTGCAACCCGGTGTGGGGAGGAGATGAGAGGAACCAAGACGTGCGGGGAGGCCAGGCCTGGGAGAGACGCCTAAGGCGGTAGGGCTGCCGGATGCGATGGGTGGTGGAACTGGGGACTTGGGGAGGGACTTTCCAGAATCACTTGGTGCATTCAGAGAAACGTGTGTCATCTTGATTCCAAAGAATTATCCAGATTTAGCAATTTCCTGGGTTCGCATTCTGAAGGAAAAACCAAAAAAAAAAAAAAAAAAAAAAAAAAACTCACCGTGTCAGGCAAACCCCAGGCCCTTCTGAAGCCGAGTCCTGCTGCCCGCTGCTGACCAGTGGCCAGTACCCATTGCTCGGTCCCCACCTAGACATGCTGCCTTCCTGGGAGCCCTGCATATTTCCTGGGAAGGTGCTCCTCCCCTGACACTGATTGCGCCCCCATCCCCATTTCCAGGCATCGTGACTATTGATGTAATAATAATGTGGTCACCACAGGGACCTTTATAATTGGGCTCGAGTGAGCGTGCATCCTTTCCTGTCCTTCTAGACCGTTCTGGACGCTTCCCTGGCTCCCCTGCACGTCCCCGCCTGCAGGAGGCCCAGGTTGGCCAGCACTTGGACCCTGTGAAGCAGGTCAGGGGGGATTGGAGGCTGGACCCTGGCCGCACGTTCCCCCACGGAGAGAAGCAGGGGGCGGGGGGTGCAAGAGGGAAGCTGGGGGCCGGGGTGTGAAGGCCGACGAGGGGACACCGTTTCCTGCAGGGCTGGACACGGCGCCGGGGCATGAGTCACCCGGCCATCAGCCCCAAGCTGGGTCTCCTGACGCAGTCATCCTCCCGCACACAAAGACGCCCCCTGTTCCGTCCTCCCAAAGATGCTGTGCTGCCGGGGAGGCACGAGTCAGGGCACCACGTCGCAGCCCCGGGCTTGGGAAGCTGCTGCCCCTGATGGCGGCGTCCCGTGACCAGCCACACGGGGCCCGGAGTGGCCTGGCCAGGCTGGGCGCCTGGAAGCCAGAGTGGGGGCACCCGGCTGCACGGGACAGAGCCACCATCCTGGTCCTCTCCAGGGAATGGGGACCTGGGCTCCTTCTCGTTCCCCAGGGGTGGCCGCTGATGGGTGGGAAAGGAAAGGAGTGATAAATAGACGGAGAGAAAGGATCGAGGCTTGTCGACCACCAGACAGAGGCAGCCGGTCGGGGCGAATGCTCTTAGACGGCCCCGGACCCCAGTCCCCACCGGGCAGGGATCTGTGCAGGGGCGCGTGCAAAATGAATGATAGTGATAATGACGATGACAACAATACGTTTCCATATTTTGACAAGTTCATTTTAGTTGGGCACCAAGGGTGGGATCTTTTCTCTACTGCCCCCCCCCCCCTGTGATTTTCACGAGATCCCCCCACAAGCCTTCTTTTCCTTTTTCCTCTCTGGCTTCCACATATGAGAGCAAACATATGACCCTTGGACCTCCGGAGCTGGCCTTATCTCACTTTCCCTGATGTCCTCCAGTTCCATTTGTTTTCTTGCCAATGGTAGAATCTCATTTTTCTTCATGGCTGCATAGGGCTCCACTGTGTACAGACACCGCATTTTCTTACTCACTCATGGGTTGGGGGACGCCTCGGCTGGTTTTGCAGTTTGGCTATTGTGAAAGAAAATGTGTGCGTATATGTGTATATATATATATATATATATATATATATATATATATATATATATATATATATATTTTGATTTTTACTTTTAAATTTTATTTTATTTTTTGCCTCTGGAGATATCACTCTGCCCGGGACCCGGGTTTTACTGAATCCACTATGGAAGCTGCTGGGATCGGCACCCCCTCCCGCCTCTGCCACCGGCCTGGAATCCTGTGGGTTGAACCGGGGTCAGCCCTGGGAGCTCCTGTGGGGGACACTCGTGGAAATGACCTGGAATAAGATCAGCAAGTGGATCTTGGCTCCCCTCTGTGCTGGGCCGGGGGCTGCGTGGGGAGACTCTCAGGGGCCGAGGTCCTCCCTGAGCCCCTGCCCGGAGACAGGTGGGCGAACGGCGTGCCCCTGGGGACCCCGGGCAGCACGTGTTCTCAGAAGAGGCCAGGAGAGTGAGGTGGAGGAGGACGGAGCCGCAGAATGGGCCTGACTCAGCCTGGAGCCACCTGGCAGGTGAGGACCCTGGTCTCTGTGCCAGGAGCATGTCCGGAGCCTCCTGTCATTCCGTCCTTACAATCTGTGAGGCAGGCACAGCTGTTGTCCAGGTGAGGAGAATGAGGCACAGGGACGAGGCCAGGTGAGGTCCTAGAGTGAGTTCCTCCTGAAATTTTGCACCCTGGGCGTCTCCCTTCACTTAGTCCCAGTCCTGCACCGAGAGGTCAAGTAACTGGTATTTCTTTGATAAATAATATTGAACATCTTTGCATATTTGTACAGTCATTCCCATATGCTCTCTTCTGAAGTTCCAGCTAGAGCCTTTGGCCATATATTTGGTTTGCTTTTGGTTTGTTTGCCCATTTAAAAAAATATTTTAAAAAAATAGTTTGTCATTGATTTATAGGTGTTCTTTATATATTGTGAACCTGTATATATGTTTTATGACTGTTTCTTCCAATGGGTGAATACCCTGTTTATTTTCACAATAGTTTCTTTTCAAATGATATTTTAATATTTTCAAAAATTAATTAATTAATCAATCAATTAATTATTTTTTTTCTTTCTTTCTCTACCAGGAGTTTAAACCAAAGGAGAACTTAACCACTGAGCTATATCCCCAGAACATTTTATTTTTTATCTTAGACAGAGCCTCACTAAGTTTCTGAGGCTGACCTTGAATTTGTGATCCTCCTTCCTCAGTCTCTCGAACAGCTGGGATTACAGGCATGTCCTACTGTGTCTGGCTTAAAAAAAACATATATGTATTTTTAATTGAAGAATGACATTGCATGTTTCTGTGTGTACCATGTGATATTTTGAAGTATGTACAAGGCGATCCGAGTCTACTACCCGTGGTTTCAGTTACCCGTCATCCACTGTGGTCTGAGCATTTTAAATGTAAAATTACAGAAATAAACAATTAGTAAGTTTAAAGTCGTGTCTGGGTGTGAGCTGTGCAGTTCCCAGGATGTGAACCCTCCTCCTCCAGTCGCTGTTGTGCTGTGTGGGCCACCTGCCTGCCAGTCACTAAATAGCTGTCCTAAGTACCAGACCCTTCACTCTCACACTGGGGCTCCCTAGGAGGTGTGTCCAAGAACCCCTTGTTTTACTTAATAACCACCCCAAGGAGTGAGAGTGTGGTGCTCACAACTTTATTCCAACGTATTATTCTATTGGTTGTATTTTGCTGAGTTTTGTTGTTTATCTCTCACTGAGCATCGCTTATAAATTAAATCTATCAGGTACAAATGCTTAAGCAAAAACAGCATATCACACCAGGCACCCACTGGGGGTCTTGAAACACGGCCCCTGCAGATGAGAAGGGCCACTGTCTATATGAAGTGGTTTAATCTAGACAATTGACAAATACAGCAGCTCACACAATGTCATGTTTGTTGTGAAAGCACACAATACCTATCGGTATGCTTTTCAAGAATACGACATATCATATTTAACTACAGACACATTTCTGTGAACAAGAGCTCTTGACATGCATTCTTCCCACCCAACTATAACTATATGCTCTTTGACTAACATCCTGCCATTCCCCCAACCCTTCCAGCCTCTGGTACCCATCCTTATATTCTCTACTTCTGTGAGATGAACTGTTTTAGGTTCCATGTATAAGTGACTTCCTGGGGACATTTGTCTTTCTGAACCTGGCTTATTTTGGTTAACATCATGTCCTTCAGGCTCATCCATGTTGTCACAGATGATGGGATTTTATTCTTTTTCCTGACTGGGTAGTATTCCATTGCCTGTAGGTACCTTATTTGCTTTACCCATTCATCTGGACTTTTTAAGCTTGATGTGCTTCTATTTATCCATATCTTCTCATTTATGGTTGATTCCTTTGGTGTCCTAACCAATCTCTTCCTTGCCTGAGATTATAAAGGTAGTCTCCTACGTTTCCTCTAAGAAGACAAACAGGTTCATCGTTCACAGGGTGGTACCAGTCCCTCTGATATCCTGGAGTTATTTGGGAGGCCGTGAGATCTGAAAGGTTAAGAGGATTTACTTTTTCTTGCCAGCTTTTGCCCTGGTTCCCTCCACCTGCCATTCTGGGACCTAGTGCCACTAGCAATCTGCCCAGTGGCCAGGTCAGCTCCCGACTCTGGGGCGTCCAGGGGAGCGAGGCAGACACCCTGCCCAGGGAGGACGCAGGCCGAGCATCTGAGGTTGTGTTAATCATCCCTGGCATGATCTTTATAAAATATTTAGTCTTTTAATTATGGGCACTGCCCAGGCTCTCGCGCCTGCTTCAGCCATTTCCCAGTCGGGGCCCCGCGCCCTCCCCCCAGCCCCTTCCTCCCTCGCTCGCCATTCCTCCAAACCATGAATCATATTTAAATGCTTCCCACATCCCATAATTCCCCCTTTACGGCTCCATTCAGTTAATTACACTTGCTCCCGACCATGGGAGACACACAGTTAGGGGCTGGGATTTAAAGGGAGAGAGAGAAAGAAGAAAGGAAGCCACCTTCACCGGGGGTCACTCCAGGCTGTGTGCCAGCCCCCCTGGGGACTCTGCCCCTCACTGCTCCCCAGCGACTCCCTCTGCCCTGGTCACCCCCATCTCCAAGCCCCTTGGTAAAATTCCTCTGTACCAGGAGCAGCTCGGGATGTTTGTAAAGAGACTTTCCACTGAGCATGACTCTGACACTCCTCCTCCTCTTGCCCACTGTGTCGGCCACATGAGGCCACGTGGCTCAGTTTCTATGAAGAATCTGAGAATTTTGAAATGTGCACCAGCTCAGCCAGCTGGTGAGTGACGGTGCTGGTTTAAAAAAAAAAAAAAACAGCAAAATTAAGTATTTACAAATGTGTGTGTGTGTGTGTGTGTGTGTGTGTAGTTGGGGACAACAGTTAAAGACATGAGTCTCGTGTTACTTACGGGATCCTAACACGGATGAGATGGAAGCAGAGGAGTACTGACCCAATGCTGACCATCAGTCAGTCTGCAAACCCGCCACTTCATTAAACAAACAGTGAGGTGAAACTTAGCGCTGAAGCTTTATCAGTTGATAGAGATGTTTCATTCTGCAAAAAAATCAAAGCGGACTTCCTCCCCGTGTCCTCTGGCCTGCATGTTGGGTGGTGCCCTCCTCTGCCTCCTCTCCCAGTGCTATCCTTGGCACTCTGCCTTCAGCACATGCCCTCCTGTCTGGTATGCAGACACTTGTGAGTGTTCACACCACAGGGCCTTTGCACTTGCAGTTCTCTCTCCTAGGAATCCTCTCGCTAGATCTAGCTCCTTCTCTTCCTTGGGTCTCCTCCTCAATGAGATCGTTGGCTCCCTTATTTAAAATGTCAGTAAACACCAATGTTTCATTCACAGCCCACTTTCCTCTTGATTTTCTTCATTTTAGCAATTGTGACCCCCCAAACCCACTATTTATTGTACTTATCTTTTCTTGTCTTTCCTCCACTAAAATGAAACTCCACAAAGGCAGGGATCTCTCTGATCTCCCTGACACAGCCAATTCTCACAGGATTTATCACAGTCGAACTTTTATTTGTGGAAGTCTCTCTACAGAAAGCACCAAGTCTGCTTCCGTACTCTGCTGTGTCACCAGCTTGGCACATAGTAGACACTCAAGAAATGAGTAACTCAAGGGACTTATTGGACTGAAGTGAGCAGTTTTAGAATAAAGAAGTCATTTTCCATAAAGACTATTCCAGGATGCACTCCTGGTGGCAATAATGAGAAGCACCACGTGTTTCTAGCTACAAACTTCAAGTCTTTTAAAGTTTTCCCGAAAGCAATTTGATATGTCATCTTAAAAGTGAATTAACTGTTCAATGTAATATAGCAATAAAATTTGAAACACATAGGAATAAACTTAAGAAAATGTTAAGAACTGTGTGAAGAAGAAAAAAATTTTGGAGGAATACTATCTTTCAAAAATAAATGAAGCAACATACCTTGTCGATGGATGAAAGATGCCCAAACACCCCAATTGTATGCTGAGTTCAATTCCAGCCAAATTAATTAATTTGTTTGTACAATCAAAATATTTATTACTAAGTGCAAATGTTGATTGCTGAACATTAAATGATAAGGAAATCTAAAATTCATCTTAAAATCAAATGGTAAGACGATGGGTAAGATTCTTGAAGATACTGTGAAAAAGAAAAAAAAAGTAATAAATCAACAAACAGGTAAACAAAGCTACAATTAGCAAATCACTGTGAATAACAGACATCAATAGAGCAAAGCACAGATTATAGAATCTCAAATATTTGGGAAAATACAATACACTGTTTTAGAACAACCAGTTATTTAGAAAAACAAAATTCGATTCCTATCTTATAATGTGCAAAATACCATAAATTCTGCCTCTCTTTTTTTTTTTTTTTTTTTTTTTTTGTTCTGGAGATTAAACCTAGAGACCCTTTACTATTGAGCTATACCCCCAGTCATTTTTATTTTTTATTTTGAGAAAGGATCTCAGCAGAGTTGCTTAGGGCCTCCCTAAATTGCTGAGGCTGGCCTTGAACTTGTGATCATCCTGCCTCAGCCTCCTGAGTTGCTGGGATTACATTGTGAACCACCACATCCAGCTCAGAAAAACTAGAAATTCTAAATCATAAATTGCATGTAGCCACACATAGTGGTGCACGCCTGTAATCCCAGCAGCTCAGGAGGCTGAGGCAGGAGGATCACAAGTTCAAAGTCAGCCTCAGCAATGGGGAGGCGCTAAGCAACTCTTTGAGACCCTGTCTCTAAATATAATACAAAATAGGGCTATGGATGTGGCTCAGTGGTCAAGTGCCCTTGAATTCAATACCCGTTACCCTCCACCCCTTCCAAAAAACAAGAATTACATATATAAGAGGAGAGGCAAATACCTGGGTAGAATATTGGTTATGTTTTCAGGGAGGAAAAGATGTTTCTAAACCCAAATGCAAATGTACTTGAGAGGCGGTTGTGATGCAAAATGTAAACTCCAGGCATAACTTGAGAGGCAGTTGTGAAGCATAAAAATGGAAGAAATGTAATGATTTTTAAAAATAATTAAAATCAAAAAGGTAGATCAAATTAGGTAGAAGGCAAAATACCTCACATGTGAAGAGTTAATATCCCTAAACTATAAAGAGAGCTTTGCAAAATCACTAAGTAAAAATTAAACCTTAAACAATGGCCAAAACATCCCATTTATGCACAAGAGAAGAAATACCAACAACCAATAAAATAGCGATACAAGGTTAACATCACTGATAATTAAGAAACACACACTAAACCAACAAATCCCTATTTCCATCTTAGCAAGTTCTAAGAGTCAGCAAAAAACAGTAAAGTTAACCTAGACGCTGGAATACCACTGGTAGTGATGTGAATGTATGTCCTTGTCCTGGGTTTAATTTGGCAAAATGTATCAATCCATAGTGTTGAATATGTTCTCTGCTTTGAACCACCAACTTGTCTTCTAGAAATTCTCTCCAGTTTAAGAAAATGCTCTGAGATCTACACAAATGTGAATACACAGGGATGTTTATTACAATGTTTCTTTTAATAACAGCTACAAATTGAAAACCACAGGCGGGTGTTGAAATGCCTAAATGTATTAAGTACATACACATGATGGGGTACTAGTGGGCACTGAATAGTCTTTTAAAAAGGAATATTTAATAAAACAGAGAAATGTTCACACTATAATGCAGAGGAAAGAAGAGAGAATTAGATAAATACACAGGGTGACGTCTAGAAAGAAATACAAAATGTCATCAATACTTTCCCAAGGAGATAAGCTCACAGGTGACTTTTACTTATTTGCTATTCTTTCTACCAAGCTGTAGATTTTCTACCAAATAAAGGGGTATTTTAAATTTTTTTCCTTGAAGTTTTTAACACAAACGCATGATCACTGTGAGTGTTCTAGTAGTGAGTTGATGGAGTTACCCTCC